GGGTGGCAGCTGGAACTGGGTGGTTGTAGTGAAGATGGTAAGCAGTGGTTAGATGATAGATCTACTGAAAGTAATACTGATCATTCCTTCCCTGCTTCCAATTGGCAGCTATCTCTTTATACTATTCTTGGACAATCCCCAAATATTACAGCATAGGAGTGGCCAGACAAGGGAGCATGCAGCAAAGAACTACCTGAAGGAGTTTAGATACCCCATCAGAGGCCCATATAGAGATGCAGACTACAGTCTTTCCTCCCAGGTTTACTTGGATGGCATCCCAAGTAAAGGAGGGCCCCTACATTCTGGTTTAATGTCTGTGAGCACCAAAGGAAAAGTCTGTCTGCCCACCACCACACAAGGGACAAAGCCTGCCTTTAGCACCCCCAGAGTCACCAAACAGCAATCCAAGTTTTCTAGCCTATAGTCTATGCCCAAGATATCTATTAGAGAAGATATTAACTGCTCCTTTCATTATTCACTAAATTATCATATGTACCTGAGTCTAATTTTGGACTTTCTAATCTGTGCTTTCCATTAGCTCTATTTATTCCTACAGTATTATCTTGTATTAATAACTGATTTATATTGTAAATTTCTACCTCATTTCTTTTTTTTTTAATTTCCTGGTTATTCTTTTATATTTATTTTTCCAAATAAGATTTATAATTATTTTTCACTTAGTTTTAAAAATTCACTTGGGACTCTGACTGAGATTAGATTGTAAAAATTAATTTAGGGAGAACTTCCACCTTTCCAGTATTGAATCTTCCTTTAGAACAAGATATAACTCTCCATTTATTCAAGAAGACTATTTTTTCTTTATTCTTTCCAACTTTTTATTTTATGTTGAAGCATAGTTGATTACCAATGTTGTGACAGTTTCAGTTGTACAGCAAAGCGATTCAGTTATACATATACATGAATCTATTCTTTTTCAAAGACTACTTTTTTTTCAGAGAGAAATATGCATATTTGTGATATCAACCTTTCTTTCACTTCATCTTAACTTCTCTTCACCAATGCCCTCACTTAGGAAAAACCCTGTTATAATTCAATAGTTAATTAGTGAAACAAAAGTTAACTTAAACCCTCAAATTATATAATTTTTATAACTACATCTGAATTATTTGATTATGCATAATTAATAATACATAATTATGGACCTTCCTGGCATTCACAAACCTCCTATGTTTTCTCCAAACTCAAGTGGTCCTAAGGCTTCCAACTTCCGATTCCATCTAGAGATGAGTGTCCTGATGCCCAGCTTGTACTCACTCTCCTGCACCTGGGAAAGCTCTTTTCAGGACCTGTCCATCTCAGAAACTGCAGGTCTTCTCAAGTTTCTCCAGGGAGCCAGGAGCCACCAGGAGCATCTATAGCTTTCATCCTTCAAATCTCAAGCCTTGGATTGATCCAGTCACTTCTGATCTCTGCTCTGGAGTGCTGCTGAAAGATTTCACTTGACTGGCTGGTCATGTGAATTGAAATCACTATGAATGCACGGTCTCTAACCTGAGTTGAATCCAACAACAGATATTTTATATTTTCCTCTTCAACTTTCTCTCCTAAAGAGTAGGACCAGAGATACAGACCCGAGATTCACAACATCTGGACTATTTTAAACTTTCACCACTCACCTCAAGTTCTCTCTCTCACTCAGTAGATGATCTTGTTTCTATTTTCACAGAGAACAATGATGCCACGATGTCATGAGATAGACACTTCTTAAATTCCCATACCTCTTAAAATATATAGCTGACCCTTGAGTAGCACAGGTTTGAACTGCACAGGCCCGCTTATATGCAGATATTTTCCCATAGTAAATACTACAGTACTACATGGTTCATCATGCGTAATGCCAGACTGGATGAAGCACAAGCTGGAATCAAGATTGCAGGGAGAAATATCAATACCTCAGATATGCAAATGACACCACCCTTACGGCAAAAAGCTAAAAGGAACTAACACCCTCTTGATGAAAGTGAAAGAGGAGGGTGAAAAACCTGGCCTAAAACTCAACAATCAGAAAACTAAGATCATGGCATCTGGTCCCATCACGTCATGGCAAACAGATGGGGAAACAATGGAAACAGTGACAGACTTTTTTTTCTTGGGCTCCAAAATCACTGCAGATGGTGACTGCAGCCATTAAATTAAAAGATGCTTGCTCCCTGGAAGAAAAGCTATGACAAATCTAAACAGCATATTAAAAAACAGAGACATTACTGACAACGGTCCATCTAGTCAAAGGTATGACTTTTCCAGTAGTCATATATGCTTATGAGAGTTAGACCATAAAAAAAGCTAAGTGGTGAAGAACTGATGCTTTTGAACTGTGGTGTTGGAGAAGACACTTGAGAGTCCCTTGCACTGCAAGGAGATCAAACAAGTCAAACCTAAAGGAAATCAGTTCTGAATATTCATTGGAAGGACTGATGCTGAAGCTGAAGCTCCAATACTTTGGCCACCTGATGTGAAGAACTGATTCATTGGAAGAGACCCTGATGCTGGGAAAGACTGAAGGCAAGAAGAAAAGGAGATGACAGAGGATGAGATGGTTGGATGGCATCACTGACTCGATGGCCATGAATTTGAGCAAGCTCCAGAAGTTGGTGATGGACAGGGCAGCCTGGTGTGCTGCAGTCCATGGGGTCACAAAGAGTCGGACACGACTGAGCAACTGAAATGACTGACTGACACGGTCCATGACTTCTTGAATTTGAGGATAAGGAGAAACGAAGGATAAGCTAGCTAACTATGAGTTATACGTGGATTGTTCAAGAGTCAACTGTGTTTATTTCATTGTCTGATTCATCTTAGAAAAAGTATTCTTTCTCCTGTCCCAAATGAATCCCTTTTCCTGTGTACTCAACCCATTCTCTTCAGACTCTTCAGAACACTGATCTGCCAAATTTTTCTTCTTTTCATTTATTCCCATCTTTCCTTCTCTAGGGTCTCTTTTCTCTTCATACACAAATATTAGGTCATTATTATCTTTAAAAAAAAGTTCTCCTATCCTATATTCAATGATTAGCTGATTTTAGATCCCTTTACAAAAACCTTTTAGATATGTCATTAGCACCATATTAGAGCATTAGTAAACATAGGGAGTAATTAGCAACACTTCAGTACCTCTATTCAGTTCTCAATTTACTGCTGTCTCAGTGGGGACACCTCAGGCAACTGCATCTTCTTTTTCCAGGTCAACACTGGTTTAATGCCAAAGACACTGGACATCTTTCAGCTCTTAACTTGACTCTGAGATGAAATCTGATGATGCTGATGACTCTTTAAGTTTTCTTTTTTGGTTTGACTTTTTCTCCTTGACTTTTCTCTACTTGTTATTTAATGCCTAATTTTCTGATTAATAGTTTCCTGCTTGGTGAAAAATAACTAATTTTTATCTTGCCTTTTTCTGTGCAATAACCCAACTACCCACATGGAAAGCTCCATTAGAATGTTTCTCAAACTCAGTATGTTCAAAACTGAACTCATTATATTTTCTAGCCAACCTGCTTCTCCTAATGCATATTTTCTCTTGGTAAATGACATCACTGTTCTAATTATTCAAGTAAGAAATTATTCAAGTAAGAAGCCTGGAACTGATGCTCAATCACTCTTTCATTCTTTCCCCCACTTTTGCTCATTCATTAAATCATTCCGTATATACGTACTTCTAAAATGTACTTGTTAAATGTCTATCAAGTTTTTTTTCCCCTCCCCTCTATCCAATTGCTTCTGCTTTGATTCAGGTTTTCATTACTTCAACTTAACTGAAGTTTTCCCTATAGTCTCACTTCCTGCCAATCTATCCTCTACACTACCATGACTCCAATTACTCAGTCATGTCTGACTCTTTGCGACTTCATGGACTGTAGCCTGCCAGGCTCCCCTGTCCATAGGATTCTCCAGGCAAGAATACTGGAGTGGGTTGCCATCATCCTTCTCCAGGTGACCTTCCCGACCCAGAAACTGAACCCACATCTCCTATGTCTCCCGCACTGCAGGCGGATTCTTTACCACTGAGTCACCTGGGAAGCCAGCAACCTCCCAAAAGGGAAATTCGCTCACGCCACTAAGGGGAGTAGGCAAGAATACCCTTGCAGGGTATTCATGGTGTCCAAACTCTAACTCCTGCCTACCTTTCAAGCTCATCAACTACAAATTCCTGGGAGCATCCCAGGCTCTGGCCACAACTATAGTTCTCTGAATGGCATGGGATATTTCTGTACTTTGGCATATGCTGTTTCCCCTCCCTAACTTTCCCTTGACTTTATGGCATACTCCATATGCCCTTAAAAATTTAAATCAAGGGTCTTCTGTGTGAAGACTTTAATTCTGTCTGTATTATAACCATTCTCCTGCTCATAATTCCAATAAAGGCCAGAATATGGCATAAATACACCTGTCCTACTGTACTGTGATACTTCCAGGTCTTTGTTCCTTACCAGGTTACATGTTCACTGAAGGCAGGGACAATGACCCTATCACAGTGCCTGACACATGCTTGGTATTTGATAACAATTTATTGTATGGTTTGAATTAGTTGTCATGCCACAGGGTCCTATATGGTATAACTTAAAGAAATATTGGGTTGGCTAAAAAGTTCATTTGGGTTTTCCACAAGATGATACCTAAAGCATTTGGCCAACCCAATACCTTAAGTTTTACATGACTGGTCAGAGTAGAACAATAATTAGAGTTCAAAGGACCATGTTTCTGTCTGCCATGAGAGCTGGGGAGAGTGTCATTGTGAGAAAATCAATTTCTTTTCTACAAACTAGAAGGCCTGTATGGTCAAATTGTTTCCTGCCTTGGGTATAAAGCGATCAGAATTCCATCTATTATTACTGATGCGCCAAACAAATGCCCTTCCAGTTCTAGGTGAGCGGTACCAAGGGTGTCCAAGGAGCACTTCCTTTTCTCAGCAAAGGCTGCACAGATGGCTGTGTGCCACCCTCCCTTTCCTTTTCTTCTTCAGCTTTGCTCCGGTAAACCTGATGGCCTCAGATAAAGTCACGTCACTGTCTCTCATTATTATCATCATCTCCACTGCACCATTACAAGGGTCTTTTGACCTCAACGTTGCTTTTCTCGTATCTTCCTCCTGGTGTGGCCAGAGAGAGAGTGAGGAGAGGGGAGCAAAGACTCCTGGGTCTTGCTTAGAGGTGAGGTACTCCCAAAGGCCACCAGGTTATAGTCACTCACCTTATCCCAGAGACAGGATGGATTCCGGGGCAATCGGAGACAGAGTAGAGTCCACTCCCGCCTCTTAATCCTGGTCTTGCAGTAGCAGGCTGGACACCCTCCCTTTCCTGGGGCCTGGTGTGTACACAACTGCCCGCTGCGGTTACCTAGGAAACCTGCTCTCCGCCTCCCGCGACCTCCGGGTCGGGAGGGGGTGAGAGGGGCGGGGAAAGCGATGGCCGACCCGTTTCTGGATCACGTGGCGGCAAGCTACACCCAATCAGCAGAGATAGGGGTCCATCCGGAAGACCCCGCTGGTGCTCCTGGGAAATGGTGGGGAGGAACGCCCCGCTCCGCGGGTCTTTTGGACTCTGCCTGTGTCGTTTCACCCGTCTTCGCCAGATCACAGGCCCGCATGGGAAGCAACGACTTACAGCGGGTACCTAGTCGTTGCCTCTTCCAGTCCCGGCTGTTTCCCACTGAAAATCTTTGACCTTCGGGGTCTGGAAGCCAGGAGCCTCGCTGAACTTGAACCCCCAAAGCGTGATGCTGTGATGTCACAAGGCGGCCAGACACCCCAGGCCCTGATATCCCCACGCGCCCCTCGGTCCAAACGCCGGCGACCGCCGCTCTCCATGAATGTACCTGACCGCAGCCGGAAGCCGCTGAGCGCAGAGCGAGCAGAATCGAAGGACAGCGCAGGCCAACCTAATGCCCTAGTGATCTCCAGAGAAGACCTGGACCCTCCAACGGTCTTCTTGTCGTTCGCCGACAGGCTTTTGAGGGTCGTTTAAGCACTCCAAAGTATACTGGTGGCCAAACTTTTACAAAATAAAGTAAAATTTAAAGAGGGGATGGGAGGAACTTTTAAGAGTGGACAGAGGGCTGAGAAATGAATGAACTTAGGCTATCAAACTGCTGGTCTCATTTCATTCTCTAGATAAGCGCTGTTCCACATGGGAGCCATTTAGCTACAGCCGCGTGAAAGATGGCTTGTCCGAACTGAGATGTGCTATGAAACACACACTGTGTTTTGAAGACCTAGCATGAAAAAATATATGTATTGATCACATATTGAAATGATAAATAGTTTTAATATATTGGTTTACGTGAAAATACTTTATTAAAACTACTGTTTTTTTTTTTTTTACATTTTAAAAGAGGCGATTAGAAAATTTAAATTACCTGTGTGATTTCTATTATGTTTCTGTTGGACAGCGCTATTATGTTTTTTGAGGTTGATTTATGTAGAATATTTATGACGTTCGGTTCATGCAATATAGTGTAAGTTTTGTTTTCTGTCACCAGGTGGCTGCCTCATTCAATAGACTATATTTTAAAACTGCTTTCTTGTGAAATATATGACTGCAGATATTTTACTATATTTTCATTTCATATATTTTACTTGTAATATTGACTGTTTACGTAACATATATAAATGTAAACATACATAAACATAGAAAAAGATAAGTTTTACTTGCATGTTTTTTATTCCTCAGAAATTTCAGTTTGTCATTAATTAACTAAAATTAATTAAAAGATTTGTGGTTTAGGAGATTTAAAAAAGGACCAGAAAAATCTAATTTGTATTATCATCTCTGAAAATCTAATTGAACAAGATGACCTGACTATAGAGTGTATAGATAACAATAGTTTCAATATCTAAATTTTTAGATTAAGAAATTGGATCAGAAGTCAGTTAGATGAATTCAGTTCAGTTCAGTTCAGTCACTCAGTCCTATCCTACTCTTTGCAACCCCATAGACTGCAGCATGCCAGGCTTTCCTGTCCATCACCAACTCCCGGAGCCTACTCAAACTCATGTCCATTAAGTCAGTGATGCCATCCAACCATCTTATCCTCTGTCATCCCATTCTCCACCTGCCTTCAATCTTTCCCAGCATCAGGGTTTTTTTCCAGTATCTCGGTTCTTCACATCAGATGGCCAAGTATTAGAGCTTCAGCTTCAGCATCAGTCCTTCCAATGAATATTCAGGACTGATTTCCTTGAGGATGGACTGGTTGATTCTCCTTGCAGTCCAAGGGACTCCCAAGAGTCTTCTCCAACACCACACTTCGAAAGCATCAATTCTTCGGCACTCAGCTTTCTTTATAGTCCAACTCTCACATCCATACATGACTACTGGGAAAACCATAGCTTTGACTAGACAGACCTTTGTTGGTAAAGTAATGTGTCTGGTTCTTAATATGCTGTCTAGGTTGGTCATAGCTTTTCTACCAAGGATCAAGCATCTTTTAATTTCATGTCTGCAGTCACCATCTGCAGTGATTTTGGAGGCCACCCCCCCAAAAAAAATCAGCCACTGTTTCCACTGTTTCCCCATCTGTTTGCCATGAAGTTCAGTGGATGGCTTTTATTTTGGGGGGCTCCAAAATCACTGCAAATGGTGGCTGCAGCCATGAAATTAAAAGACGCTCCTTGGAAGAAAAGTTGTGACTGACCTACAGAGCATGTTAGAGTAGAGACATTGTTTGTCAACAAAGGTCCATCTAGTCAAGGCTATGGTATTTCCAGTGGTCATGTATGGATGTGAGAGTTGGACTGTAAAGAAAGCTGAGCACAGAAGAATTGATGCTTTTGAACTGTGGTGTTGGAGAAGACTCTTGAGAGTCCCTTGGATTGCAAGGATATCCAACCAGTCCATCCTAAAGGAGATCAGTCCTGGGTGTTCATTGGAAGGACTGATGTTGAAGTTGAAACTCCAATACTTTGGCCACCTGATGCAAAGAGCTGACTCATTTGAAAAGACCCTGATGTTGGGAAAGATTGAAGGCCGGAGGAGAAGGGGATGATAGAGGATGAGATAGTTGGATGGCATCACCAACTCAATGGACATGAGTCTGTGTAAACTCCGGGAGTTGGTGATGGACAGGGAGGCCTGGCGTGCTGCAGTTCATGGGGTCACAAAGAGTCGGACATGACTGAGCAACTGAACTGAACTGAACTGAACTGAACTGAACTGATGGGACCAGATGCCATGATCTTAGTTTTCTGATTGTTGAGTTTTAAGCCTACTTTTTTCACTCTCCTCTTTCCCTTTCATCAAGAGGCTGTTTAGTTATTCTTTGCTTTCTGCCATAAGGGTGGTGTCATCTGCATATCTGAGGATATTGATATTTCTCCCGGCAATCTTGATTTCAGCTTGTGTTTCATCTAGCCCAGCATTTCTCATGATGCACTCTGCATAAGTTAAATAAGCAGGGGGGAAATATACAGCCTCGACGTACTCCTTTCCCTATTTGGAACCAGTCTGTTGTTCCATGTCCAGTTCTAGCTGTTTCTTCTTGACATGCATACAGATTTCTCAGGAGGCAGGTCGGGTGGTCTGGTATTTCCATCGCTTTAAGAATTTTCCACAGTTTGTTATGATCCCCACAGTCAAAGGCTTTGGTGTAGTCAATAAAGCAAAAATAGATATGTTTCTGGAACTCTCTTGCTTTTTCTTTGATCCAGCGAATGTTGGCAATTTGATCTCTGGTTCCTCTGCCTTTTCTAAATCCAACTTGAACATCTGGGAGTTCACGGTTCACAGACTATTGAAGCCTGGCTTGGAGAATTTTGAGCATTACTTTGCTAGCATGAGATATGAGTGCAATTGTGTGGTAGTTTAAACATTTTTTGGCATTGCCTTTCTTTGGGATTGGAATGAAAACTGACCTTTTCCAGTCCTGTGGCCACTCCTGAGTTTTCCAGACTTGCTGTCATATTGAGTGTAGCAGTTTCACAGCATCATCTTTTAGGATTTGAAATAGCTCAACTGGAATTCCATCACCTCCACTAACTTTGTTCCTAGTGATGCTTTCTAAGACCCACTTGACTTTGCATTCCAGGATGGCTGTCTCTAGGTGAATGATCACACCACCATGGTTATCTGGGTCGTGAAGATCTTTTTCGTATAGTTCTTCTGTGTATTCTTACCACCTCTTCTTAGTATCTTTTGCTTCTGTTAGGTCCATACTATTTCTGTCCTTTATTGTGCTCATAAATGTTCCCTTGGTATCTCTAATTTTCTTGAAGAGATCTCTAGTCTTTCCCATTCTATTGTTTTCCTCTATTTCTTTGCATTGATCACTGAGGAAGGCTTTCTTATCTCTCCTTGCTATTCTTTGGAACTCTGCATTCAGAGGAGTATATCTTTCCTTTTCTCCTTTGCCTTTAGTGTCTCTTCTTTTCTTAGCTATTTGTAAGGCCTTCTCAGACAACCATTTTGCCTTTTTGATTTCTTTTTCTTGGGGATGGTCTTGATCCCTGTCTCCTGTACAATGTCATGAACCTCTCTGTCCACAGTTCTACAGGCACTCTGTCTATCAGATCTAATCCCTTAAATCTATTTGTCACTTCCACTGTATAATCATATGAGGTTTTATTTAGGTCATACCTGAATGGTCTAGTGGTTATCCCTGATAAGTCTGAATTTGGCAATAAGGAGTTCATGATCTGAGCCACAGTCAGCTCCCAGTCTTGTTTTTGCTGACTATGTAGAGCTTCTCCATCTTTGACTGCAAAGAATATAATCAATCTGATTTCAGTCTTGACCATCTGGTGGTGTCCATGTGTAGAGTCTTCTCTTATGTTGTTAGAAGAGGGTGTTCACTATGCCCAGTGCGTTCTCTTGGCAAAACTCTATTAGCCTTTGACCTGCTTCGTTTTGTACTCCAAGGCCAAATTTGCCTGTTACTCCAGGTATCTCTTGACTTCCTACTTTTGCATTCCAGTCCTCTATAATGAAAAGGACATCTTTTTGGGGTATTCTAAAAGGTCTTGTAGGTCTTCATAGAACTGTTCAGCTTCAGCTTCTTCAGGAGAATTATGTACATCAAACTTCTCGTTTTGGGAGATACAACTCTTTTGCATAACAGTATAGGGTTATCTACTTTGGATTGTTAGAAATCTGTTGTGGTTTATCTAATCAGTAAAAGACTGGGAGAGAGCTAACTGTTTTCTTTATACTCTATAATGAGTAATTTTAAGAATGTTATTTCTAGGTAAAGGTCAAGGCTTTGGTCAGCACTTGAGTCAGAGTTTACTCTATGGCTGTGGACTGGTAACCACTGATAAGTTGCCAAGCTAAAGCCTTTGTCCTGAGCAATTGCCTCAGGACAGAATTGCTTGTTGTTAGCTTATTCTGGATGGTATTTGGAGCAAAAGGTGATTATAGTTAAAACCAGAAGAAGAATGCAGAATCAGTGACCATTCTTGTTAATCACCTTTTCCTATTTTAAAGCTTCTTTATGATACAGGTTTATGTGTCTGTACAAGAAACAATAGAAACTGAAGCCATTAAAAGTCAAAGTAAAACAGTCTAAGTGAAAGAAGACTTTGCTTCATTCCTCAGTCTGTTCATAACCCTAGACAAGGGCCAAAACATAAATTTACATTTATTTATTGATAAAGGAATCTTGAACCTGAAAACAATTGGGAAGATATAGTACCACTGATTATGGCACACTTATCATGTCACCACTTGAATTAAAGAAGAATCATTTAAACAAAATAAAGATGACTTTATAGACCTAAATAAGAAAATCTTTGTTAACTAAAATCTTTTGAACTGATGGTCAGATTGATTTCCCCCAAACCCTTATTCTTACTGGTAATAGTGGAGACATCTAAATTACAATTTGGCTTTGTAATATCTTCAAGTTTAATGCCAGAAAATGAAAAATCTGGAGATTTCAAATGCTAGTTTAATTTTTATATTCTTGTTGACATTTGATCCTTATGCAAATGGGTACTTTCCAGTTAATAATTTGTCAGATTATCTGTGAAAAT